AGGATTTGGACAAGGAGACGCAGTCGCGAAAAGACTCATTCTTGATTTGAAGTATTCAAGACTATCGAAGAATCACGAATAACGAATCATGAATAGAAGCAATCTTAAATCATTTACTTGACTTATGTGCCCATAGGGTCACGTGGAAGAAGAAGCCTGTCCAAAAATACTTCAACTTTCAATCGAAAAGAGTACCATGGCCCTGAAGCCACGAGCCAGCTCGAGGCTCGCTCTGGGGCTTAGCCACAATCTTCGAGGACCACATCAGGCTTGGCACGCTCACCCATACTCAGTCTATGGATTGCATTGTATGACAGCTGCTTTTCGATCAAACAGAGGTCTGAATAGCGGATCGACTCTCGCCCCGCAAACACACACACCTTAGTCCACCACTCTGTAGGGCTGCTTGCCACCTTTGAGGCGTGCGCCACCCGTCTCGATGGGCCTTTCGAAATGCAGCTGAGATCTGTATCTGCGAAGATACGTGATGGCGACTTCTTCGAAGGTGTCTGGCTCGATGGCAAGATCGGCAAAGGTCTTGGTGCCAGGCGCATCGGGGTAGTCGTCGATGTAGCGTCTTGTCACCTCATCCGGCGAGAGCATGGGCCACCACACCTTGTCGCCTGCTTTGGCAGCGAGCATCAGCACTGCTTTGGGGATGTTCAAAGAGGGGCGAACCAATTTCCTGAAGGTCAAGGACTGGACGAGGTTGAGAAGCTCAGAGACAGTGTAGGTCTTAGGGCCTGCCAGAGAGAATGTCTGTCCGATGGACGTATTTTCTGCATCCATGATGACCTCGAGGGCTTGCGCAACATCGAGAGAGTGGACTGGCCGCAGCTTTGTTCGGCCATGGTTTGCATGCCAGGTGATTGGCCAGCCTAAGAAAAGAAACGGGATTGTGTGTCAATATGACTAAATGCGCCAAAGAAACGTCGAAAGCAGTGAATCCGGCCTTTGAAGCGCTGCTCGTAGAGCATTGGCCCGGTCGACATTCCGGCACCTCCTGCGCACTGGACCGTCGCAACGACCCAATTGACATGCTACCTGACACCCTGACGCACCAACGACTGTACCAAGCCTGCCGCAATTCGCTACTCACTTGCCATTTGATTCAGGAAGCGATCCTCGTGGCCGTACAGAGATGCTGGTCGCACAATAGTCGCGCCCTCAAAGACTCTGTTCACAGCTTCCTCTCCTTCTGCCTTTGTGCGCAAGAATGCGGATGGACTGTTCTTGTCGGCATTCAGGTGAGACACGTGAATCAATCTCGAGACTCCGCATGCATCCGCCACTCCTGCAATTCGCTGAGCTCCAGAGACGTGGACGTCGTTGAAGGAGAAGTTCCTGCACGCGAGCAAATTCGATGTCAGTCGTCTGAGACGATTTCACCTGTGCGAGGCTGTGCCGTACGTTGCACTCACTTGGTCTCGTAGTTCCTCCCAGTCAAGTTGAACACCACATCAGAGTGACGCAAGCACTCCTCAATTTGCTCATCGCTTCGAATGTCCCATTCCTAAGCACGACGTGTTGAAGCTCAGTCAGCTCAGGGCTGCCTTCCGCATGGCCATTCCGCCCAGCGGCGTGCTTCATCGGCAAGCAAGGGGCAGCCTGCACACCTGTCCATTGCTGACTTACAAGCGGCACGATCTGTCCAAGGTCACCCATGACCTTCAAATGTCGCTTCTCGTCCTCATCTCTGTAGGGCACAATGACCTGAGTGCCCTTCTGCGCCAACCTGTTCACTACATATCGGCCAAGAAAGCCAGTGCAGCCGAACACGGTCGCGACATGACCCGACACCGACGATCTGACATGGCAAGAGCCGCACATGAAAGTATCAGCAAGAAGGTGGGGACATAATCTCTACGCATGAGCAAGCTCGACTCACCGACCGCCTCCGTATGGGCCGGCACGGATGATAGGCTGACCGGTGCGGCGTTTGATGACCAAGTCGTGAACAGCTCTGGATTGCTGAGACGCAGCGGCGGTAGCTGGGCGCAGAACCGATGAGGCAGCTTGCCTGGAGGCAGGCTGAGCAGCAGGCAGGAGCACCATCGTGACTCGATCGATCTGGCCAAAGGAAGGAAGGAGTGGGAAGGGTCGTTTCCTGGAGAGGCCGAGCGAGGTGCCGATTTACCAGCGCCAACGGTGTAAGGCAACAGCCGGATCTAGGGGAACAGCGAAGGAAGCCAGGGTGGTGCTGTGAGCCGAGCGTTTGCGAGATCGAGTTCACGTATCAAGAATGTAGGACGACGAATTGCGAAGTTGCTTGATACCTGGTAGAAATTCGGCTGGATTGCTTGACTCACGACTCACGACTTAAACTTGGTGAGCGCTTCTAACGCAAGTCAACAAGTCACAAGTCACGAGTGACGATCGTTCTTGACCGTGCGCCTGCATCGCCCCGCCAACGAACGAGAGCGCGCGCTTTCCAAGCAGCAGGACCGGCGTGGTGTGCCTTC